AGTGAGGAGGAGGAGGGACAGTGAGAGGAGAGGAGATAGGAGGCGACGGCTGAAGCTGCAGACACACGGGCAACAGGAGGCACACTGGCACAGCGGCTACCGGAACAGCGCTCCGGACTACTGGAGTAACTGGCCCCGCGGCTAAAAGTAGCGGCAGACGAGCAACGGACCCACGGGCGACTGGCACGGGTGGCTACGACTGGGCTACCGGAGCAACTCCCCGGACTACAGGTGCTGCTGGCGACACGACGGCAACCTCCGTTCAACCTCCCCCAAACAGTACCACCCCCCCTGACACACACCCCCTGCTTCACCCCTAGCTCCACTCCCCCTTCACCCTCCCTTAGTACCACTCCGACGGCTCCAACAGGTCCACCCCCCCTCAGCGGCAGCTGCAGCACAGGGAGACGGAGGAGGAGGAGGAGCAGGGAACGGCACACAGAAGCTGCACCCCCATACCCCCCACCCCCAAACCCTAATCCAGGAGAACGGGCAGAAGGAGGGGTGGGGCGCCTTCAGAAGCACGGGGGACAGCGGGGAGGACAGGGGCAGCGAAGAACGGGCCGCCCACGGGCCTGGCACAGCCTCCCGAACCGCGCGCAGGCGGCCCGAGCCGCGCGCGGGCCTGGCGCAGCCCGTACGGGCCGCGCGCGGGCCTGGCGCCGCCCGTACGGGCCGCGCGCGGGCGTGGCGCAGCCCGTACGGGCCGCGCGCGGGCCTGGCGCAGTCCGTACGGGCCGCGCGCGGGCCTGGCGCAGCCCGTACGGGCCGCGCGCAGGCCTGGCGCAGCCCGTACGGGCCGCGCGCCGGCTGTACGGGCCGCGCGCAGGCCACGACGGGCGACGGGGGGCGACGCGCGGGTCCCCGTCGCCCGTCGTAGCGCCTCCTGGGGGCGACGCGCCGAGTGACGGGGCAGAAACCCGTCGCGCGCCTCGGGGCGCACGGCGGGCAGAAAACCGCCGCGCGCCTCGGGGCGCACGGCGGGCAGAAAACCGCCGCGCGCCTCGGGGCGCACGGCGGGCTGAAAAACCCTAATTTCGACGCCGCGCACCACGGGGCGTGCGGCGGACAGGGAGTAGCAGTAGCAGCGGAAGCAGTGAGGTGGGGCCCACAGGCCAGGAGCATATCGCTCTGATACCATGTGAAAGTAAGCAGTAGAAGAAGGCGCCATAGCTAGGAAAGCCCTAGCTAGGCAAGAAACAGTTTAGGCAAAGAAGGAGAGGAATTGCATTAGCAAGAATGAGGATACAAATAGCAAACCCTAGAAGGGTTGTACTCGCTATAGAGCACCCCACTACAGGCTAGAGCATAATATTCTGACAAAAGTCCCCCAAAAAACATAAAAAAAAAAGCATACCAGTGGCTTTCGGTATCAACCCTAAACACCTTGTCGTTTATAGTTTAGGTTTGATGTCTCCTGAGATGGCATGCCATCCGAGCGGGTTTTAGTTTTAGTTTTTTTTTTTAGCATGCAAACTCTAGTACACCAATGCCTTTAATCTTCGCATCCAAGACTCGCAACGGAAATAGCCAGAACGTACAAATAGAACAATACTGGTTGCGAGTTAAAGGTCCATAAATCTCAAACGTTTTATGGCCGTTTCATCTTGTGATGGTTCGTGATAATTTTGTGGGGTAGCGTGTGACTTTCCATGATAGAATTCCAGATGTTGTGACCATCAATGATAGATTTCAATATTATTTGACCGTTCGTGAAAACCAATTGACTATCAGTGATAACGAGCCCTTGTTTGTGACCATCTATATAACAACTTCAAAAATTACAGCTCTTGTCCCCCCCTTCACCGTTGCAGTTGCGTCTTCTAGTTCGTCGAAATATGTTCGTATCCCTGAAAAGGTTCGTGTAGTTCCAGCGATGTCGCCATGCGTAGTTGCTGCGCGCGTTTAACCAAACGCCAAGTTGTCCCACGAAATTGTCGGCAATCCTCACCATAAAACCGGTAAGTTCTCGCGTAATACTCCATAAATTTGGGGCCTAAAAAATGTTATAGTCACAATAGGCTTGAATGTGCCTAAAACGAAAGAGTGCACAGACAGATCTCTGCACAGCGACTTCAAACGTTGATAGCCTTCTGGTCACATCTTCAAATGACTTGCTATGAATTGGATATGGAGCGTCTTGATATTGCCTACAATAAGCAATTTAGATTGCACAATTTAATTAATAATTGACAACACAGCGTTGGTGTGAAAGAACGGTACTATGGCAACCACTATTGTCTTAGAACACAAATTCGGAAAGTTACGAGTTGGGAATGACTCCCAGCTCCTACAAACCCCAAGAGCCGAGGTACAGTGATGTGGAACAGTGCCACACTGTCACCTGTCAAACATATATGCTATAGTCTGTCTAGGCTGTAGTGGGGTAGTTCATATAGGGTACAACACTTTTAGGTTTCCTACTTGTACCCACCTGCTTGTTAATTCAGTCATTCCTTCCTTCACTATTCTGACATGGTATCAGAGCAGGTTCCCTCGTGGGAACGTTTTTTTTAGGGCCCACCACGATCACTTTTTTTTCCTGCCCTGCCCGAAGCGCGCTTCGCGCCTGCCTCACCTGCGCCGTCGCACGCCCTGCCCTAGAGCCGCCCGTCGCGGCCCTGCCTTCTCGGCCCGTCGCGGCCCCTACCGTCGCGGCCCCGGCCGTTGCGGCCCCTACCGTCGCGGCCCCTGCCGTCGCGGCCCCTGCCGTCGCGGCCCCTGCCGTCGCGGCCCCTGCCGTCGCGGCCCCTACCGTCGCGGCCCCTGCCGTCGCGGCCCCTGCCGTCGCGGCCCCTGCCGTCGCGGCCCCTGCCGTCACGGCCCCTGCCGTCGCGGCCCCTGCTATCGCGGCCCCTGCAGTCGCGGCCCCTTCCGTCGCGGCCCCTGTCGTCGTGGCCCCTGCTGTCGCGGCCCCTGCCGTCGCGGCCCAACCCTACTGCCGCCCCTGACGCGGCCTTGCCCTTCTGCCGCCCTGTCGCGACCCTGCGCTGACACCGCCAAGTGGCGGCCCTGCCCTGCTGCCGCCCCAGTCGCGGCCCTTCACCCGCCCCTGGTAAGCACCCGCGCCGCCCCGCCGAGCCGCGCCCCTCCTCCGAGCCGCGCCGCCTTGCCGCGCCGCGCCGCCAGGAGCCGAGCCGCGCCGCCTAGCCGAGCCGTGCCTGTGAGAGTACGCCGACGTTCGACATATTTCTCATTTCCATATTTTTACTCCATCTTATTCTCCTTATTTTCCTCTTTCATTTGCACTTTATTTCACCTCAATCGGACTACTATTCTATTTTCTAGAGCTTTCCGATTATTCCACTTATTTGGTATTTTTGGCACCGACATTTACATTATACGGCACCGACAGCACCGACAGTGGTGTACAAGGCGTAATCTCGCCATAATCCGAAGTGCCAATGGGCTTGCGTGCTTATGCGCACTTGTGATTATCTATTCTAGAAGAGCGTGTTCCCGAAGGTTCGGATTATCTGTTGTTTCTATGTATTTCTGAGTATAAATACGCCTTGTACTCACCTTTAGTGCAACATTCTCGAGTGGAAATTCGATCATGTGACAGTGCCGCCCTGTCGAGCCGCGCCGCCCTGCCGAGCCGCGCAGCTCTGCCGAGCCGCGCCGTCCTACCGAGCCGCGCCGCCCTGCCGAGCCGCGCCGCCCTGCCAAGCCGCGCCACCCTGCCGAGCCGCGCCGCCCTGCCGAGACGCGCCGCCCTACTGAGCCCCACTGCCCTGCCCGCGCTGCTCCTGCTGCTACTGCTGTTTCTGCTGCCACTGCTGCTATGTCAAACATATATGCCTAGTTATATCTAGGCTTAGTTTATGTGTTTATAGTTGTCTAGGCTATAGTGGGTTTAGCCTTAGGGGGTACAAAGTTTCTCTCGACATTCTACTTGTACCCCTTCCCTTTTCCTAGTCAATCATCCTCGCCTACTATTCTCACATGGTATTAAGAGCAATTAAGTCTTAGGACCGAATCTCAATGGGCCCACCACCTACTGCCCTGCTAGCCTAGGCCCCGGCCCGTCGCCCCTTTGCGTCGCCCCTAGCCCCTAGGCTCGGCCCCTTGGCCCCGTCGCCTCGGCCCCGCTGGCCCCGTCGACTTCGTCGCCCGCGCCCGGCCCGTACCTAGCCCGTCGCCCGGCCCGTACCTAGCCCGTTGCCCGGCCCGTACCTAGCCCGCGCCCGGCCCCGTCTCCTGCCCGCGCCCGGCCCGTACCTAGCCCGACGCCCGGCCCGTACCTAGCCCGTCGCCCGACCCGTACCTAGCCCGTCGCCCGGCCCGTACCTAGCCCGCGCCCCGTCCGTACCTCGCCCGCGCCTGGCCCCGTAGCTAGCCCGCGCCCGGCCCGTACCAAGCCCGCGCCTGGCCCCGTCCTTCGCCTTGCGCCCGCCCCGTCTCTTGCCCGCGCCCGGCCCCGTACCTAGCCCCGCGCCCGGCCCGTACCTAGCCTGTCGCCCGGCCCGTACCTAGCCCGTCGCCTCGGCCCCGCTGGCCCCGTCGACTTCGTTGCCCGCGCCCGGCCCGTACCTAGCCCGTCGCCCGGCCCGTACCTAGCCCGTCGCCCGGCCCGTACCTAGCCCGCGCCCGGCCCCGTCTCCTGCCTGCGCCCGGCCCGTACCTAGCCCGTCGCCCGGCCCGTACCTAGCCCGTCGCTCGGCCCATACCTAGCCTCGCGCCCGGCCCGTACCTAGCCCGCGCTCGGCCCCGTTCCTAGCCCCGCGCCCGGCCCGTACCTCGCCCGCGCCTGGCCCCGTACCTAGCCCGCGCCCGGCCCGTACCAAGCCCGCGCCTGGCCCCGTCCTTCGCCCAGCGCCCGGCCCCGTCTCTTGCCCGCGCCCGGCCCCGTACCTAGCCCCGCGCCCGGCCCCATTCCGCGCCCAGCGCCCGGCCCCGTACCTGCCCAGCGCCCGGCCCAGTCCCTGCTCGGCGCCTGGCCCCGTTCCTGCCCAGCGCCCGGCCCCGTACCTGCCCAGCGCCAGGCCCAGCCCCTAGCCATGGCCCCTCGCGACCTGCCGCCCCTAACTGCGGCCCCGGTGCCCTGTTACGCCATGGTGGGTGAGGGGGTGGCAACAGGTGGTTCCTCCTGCCCGCGTGCCCTTCAGTTGCACGCGCAGCTCCGCCCCCGCCCCCCTCCATGGGGATGGCGGGGAGAGGGGGAGGAAACTTGGAGGTTCAGGGGGAGGCAGGAGGGGATCTGCAGCACCAGGTCCCCCACCTTTCTCCTACCTCCCCATGCTGCCGGAGCAGCAGAGGGGGGGAGGGGATCTGCAGCCCCCCCCCCCCTTTTCTCCTCCACCCCTGCTGCGGGTGCAGCAGCGGGGGGGAGGGGATCTGCAGCAGCAGTGGGGGGAGGGGATTTGCAGCATCAGCCCCCCCCCCCCCCCCCCCGCCCCCCCTTTCTCCTCCACCCCTGCTGCGGGTGCAGCAGTGGGGGGGAGGGGATCTGCAGCAGCAGTGGGGGGAGGGGAGTTGCAGCATCAGCCCCCCCCCCCCCCCCCCCCCCCCCCCCCCAACTTCTCCTCCATCCCCCTGCTGCGGATGCGGCAGTGGGGGGAGGGGACCTGCAGCACCTGCCCCCCCCCCCCCCCTTCTCCTCCATCTCTCTGCTGCGGGTGCAGCAGTGGGGGAGGGTATGGGGGTGGCGGGTGTGGCCAACCTGCTGTCGCCCGAGCGGCTCCTGCACCGCCCCTTCTCCAATCTCCCCCTGCTGCGGATGCGGCAAGTGGGGGGAGGGGACCTGCAGCACCAACCCCCCCCCCCCCTCCCCCCCCCCCCCCCCCGCCCTTTTCTCCTCTCTCTCTCCCTGCCGCACCCTGTGTTTTTGGGGGGGGGAGAGCTTGGAGGTTCAGGGGGAGGCAGGAGGGGATCTGCAGCACCAGACCCCCCCAGCCCCCCCCCCGCCCCCACTTCTCCTCCATCCCCCTGCTGCGGGTGCAGCAGTGGGGGGGAGGGGATCTGCAGCAGCAGTGGGGGGGAGGGGAGATGCAGCATCAGCCACCCCCCCCTCCCCCCCCCCACTTCTCCTCCATCCCCCTGCTGCGGGTGCAGCGGTGGGGGGGAGGGGATCTGCAGCCCTGTGCTGCACTGCAGCCCTGCGCGCCCCGCGCGCCCTGCTGCCCTGCTGCTGCCGCTACAGCCCTTGTTGTTGCCGCTACAGCCCTTGCTGCTGCCCTGCGCGCTCCGCGTGCCCTGCAGCCCTGCTGCGCCCCGTGCGCTCTGCAGCCCTGCGCGCCCTACTGTCCTGCTGCCCTGCGCGCCCCGCGCGCCCTGCTGCCCAGCAGCCCTGTGCGCCCTGCTGCCCTGCAGCCCTGTGCACCCTGCTGCCCTGCTGCTGCCGCTACAGCCCTTGCTGTTGCCGCTACAGCCCTTGCTGCTGCCCTGCGCGCGCCCTGCAGCCCTGCTGCGCCCTGTGCGCCCTGCAGCCCTGCGCGCCCTGCGCGCCCTGCTGTCTTGCTGCCCTGCGCGCCCTGCGCGCACTGCAGCCCTACGCGCCCTGCGCGAACTGCAGCCCTGCGCGCCCCGCGCGCCCTGCTGCCCTGCTGCCCTGTTCGCCCCGTGCGCCCTGCTGCCCTCTGCACGCGCTGCAGCACCAGCCCCCCCCCCCCCCCCCTTCTCCTCCATCCCCTGCTGCAGGTGCAGCAGTGGGGTGGGGGTATGGGGGTGGCGGGTGTGGGTGCAACTGCGGGGTGGCGGGTAAGGGGGTGGCGGGTGTGTGAACCATCCCCTCCTCCTCCTCCACCTTTGTCTCCCACTGCAAGGGGTGTGTGAAAGGGGTTGGGACAGTTATGGGGGAGGTTGAGCGGAGGTAGCCGTCGTGTCGTCAGCAGCGCCAGTAGTCCGGAGGCTACAATCTCCGGTAGCCCAGCGAGCCTGCTGCGCCAGTCGCCTGTGGGTCCGTTGCTCCTGCCGCTCAGAGTTAGTCGCAGAGCCAGTTACTCCTGTAGTCCAGGGATACGGCCCCGGTAGCCACAGTGCGCGCCGCTCCTGTTGCCCGTGTGTCTGCAGCATCAACAGTCGCCTCCTATCTCCTCTCCTCTCACAGTCCAGCCTCCTCCTCACTTGCCCTTTGTGAATGCCTCTAGCTCTGCCTGTACTGTGATCTATCTATATACCTGCATGCTTGCACTTGTTAGGGTATGATCACTGTATTGTTTGTTCTCTTTATATAACTCTGCATGTGAACTGGCCTTGTGGCCCTTTGCTTGTGCTCGGACTGTGTGGTGACTTTGTGATCCACCCTGAGCTTGCTTTGCTTTGCTTCTTCTCTTGACTGGTCTTGTGACCATTGCTTGTTCTGGCTATCCCCCACTTCGCCTATGGGGGTGTGTCAAACATATATGCCTAGTTATATCTAGGCTTAGTTTATGTGTTTATAGTTGTCTAGGCTATAGTGGGTTTAGCCTTAGGGGGTACAAAGTTTCTCTCGACATTCTACTTGTACCCCTTCCCTTTTCCTAGTCAATCATCCTCGCCTACTATTCTCACATGCGACTGCTGCTACTGCCGCCATGGCTAGCCCTACTGTTCTTACCTTTGATGTTGAGGGGCGAGCAGTTGATTTTGACGTGTGGGTTGATGACCTGCAGCTCTTTCTTCAGTGTGACTCCAGGGATGGGGTATCCCTGTTTGATCACACGTCCGGTGTCTCTACTGCACCTGCTTCCACTGCTGACAGTACGGTTTGCTCGCAGTGGACCACTCGTGACGCTGTTGCTCGCCTTGCTGTTCGTAGTCACCTGCCGTCTTTTGAGCGTGCACACTTTGGCCAGTACAAGACTGCTAAGTCTTTGTATGACACTGTAGTAGCGAGCTACTCCCCCCCTGCCACTGCTGCCCTCAGCCGCCTCATGCTGCCGTACCTGTTCCCTAACCTTGCTGCCTTAGCCACAGTCGCTGACCTCATTACTCACCTCCGCACTAGTGACGCCCGCTACCGCTCTGCGCTTCCCACTGAGTTCTGTGCCAAGAACCCTCCCCCCATGTACATCACCCTTTACTACCTAGTCACCCGCCTCCCTGACTCCCTTGCTTCAGTCAGGGACCAATTTCTCTCCCTTTGCCCCGCCGAGCTCACCGTCGACCTGCTAGAGGAGCGCCTCACTGCGGCTGAGAAGAGTATCGTTGCTGTAGGTGCTTCTCGCGGCAACCCTCGCGCCCCTTTCTTTGAGGGGTGTTCCCCTGTCCCCCTTCTCCCCTCTGTTGCTTCTGCTGCTGCTGTCGACCTCATTCGCACTGAGGAGGTCGGGGCTGTGTCTGCTCCTAGTGGGAGGCGCCGCAACAGCAAGGGCAAGGGGGGCACGGGTGGTGGAGGGGATGGTGGGGGCGGCGGTGGAGGCGGTGGAGGAGGCGGAGGGGGTGGCGGTGGAGGTGGGGTTGGTGGCAGGAGTGGGGGCTTCGGTGGCGGCGGTGGGGGTGGTGGAGGCAGCGGCAGCGGCGGTGGAGGCAGCGGCAGCGGTGGTGGAGGTGGCGGCGGCGTTGGTGCTGGTCGAGGTGGAGCCACGCAGCGTGGAGGCTTTGGTGGTAGCCAGCGCCAGCAGCAGCCGCGTTCCCGTGAGACCCCGTCGGCCCAGCAGCTTCGTGAGTGGTACGCTGGGCGTGGGAGGTCTGGGGGTGTTGGTCCCTGCACTTACGTTCTTCGCACCGGCGGGCGCCGTGGGGAGACGTGCGGGCTGCCACACACTGCGCAGCGCTGCTTCGGTCACCTGACTGATGCCTGGCACGCCCAGTTTCCTGACGCTGTTGAGCTCCCTTGCCGGGGTGATCTGCTTAGGCAGAATGTTGCTATCTTTGATCTTGATTTCAATGTTATCCTTGCTGCCATGTATGCTGTGACTGATAGTGCTGAGGGTGAATGTTACCTGAGTGTTCCGCCCGACCCGGGCATTGAGACTACTGCTCTAGGTGCTAGTGCGTCTGCTGCTCCACGTACTAGTGAGTCTGCTGCTCCAGGTGCTAGTGAGTCTGCTCTCTCTGGTACTGCACCTACTGAGTCCTTGCACACTTTCACGCTTGACTCTGGTGCTTTGCGCTCCTTCTTCTGCGACAGCACCACACTTACGCCGCTCAGTCGGCCTGTCGCAGTCTCTGTTATAGTCACAATAGGCTTGAATGTGCCTAAAACGAAAGATAGAGAGCACAGACGGATTTCTGCACAGCGGCTTCAAACGTTGATAGCGTTTTGCTCACAGCTACAAATGACCTGATTCAAATTGGATCTGGAGCGTCTTCACGTCGTCTACAATTAGCAATTTAGATTGCACGATTTGATAAAGAATTGACGACACAGCGTCGGTTTGAACGAACGGTACTATGGCAGCCACTATAGTCTTAGAACACAAGATAGGAAGAGTTACGAGTTGGGAATGACTCCCAGCTCCTACAAACCCCAAGAGCCGAGGTACAGTGATGTGGAACAGTGCCACACTGTCCCCAACCACGAAGGGTCTCGAAACTACCCTTCAATAGGGCCTACACCAAGTGAAATGTTACACTACACAAAGTAATGTAACTATCTTCAATATCTTGAGGTGCACCCTTTTGGCGAGCTTCGAAATCACTTGAGGCTTGACACCAAGGCTCGGGCTCTTCATCACAAACTCATCCTTGAGTTCTTGATGGGTCTGCTGCACACACCTGCGACACGCCGAACGTTCGACACAGGACAAAATAGAAACCGCGCACGACAAAATAGAAACCGCGCACGACAAAATAGAAACCGCGCGCGAGACACAAACGACCGCGTAACACGCGTCTAGCGATAACTCGCTATTGACTCGACACACACACTCGACATCATGACTCAACATTCACACACAATTATAAGCATGAAATATATATTATCCCATGCCCTCATACCATTCCATACACACACACATTCACGCACACGGACAACAAGCCGAGTGCAAATCGTAGGGTTGCACCAACAAACTCCCCCTCGGATTGTTGGCCTTAGGATATGTTGCTCTCTCAGTTCAGAGCCATCCCAGCCAGCTTGCAACACTTCCAATGCTGCTGCTCCACCAGCCTCTTGGTCATCATGTCAGCCGGCTGCCCCGTGGTCTTCACGTAGCGCAACTCAACTTCACCCGCGGTTACCATGCTCCTCGTCCAATGCCACTTCACCCTCATGTGCTTCGTGAGTCCATGCAACACAGGGTTCTTAGCAAGAGCAATGGCACCCTGGCTGTCACATTACAGTGGGGTAGGTCCTTGCTGCTCCTCCCCCAATTCAGCCAACAAACGCCGCTGCCACACAATCTCCCGTACGGCACGGAAGAGTGCCATGTACTCGGACTCCACCGAGCTCAAAGCTTGGTCAACCTGCTTCTTGCTCTCCCAAGCAGTTGGGCCTCCACCAACACAGCATATGAAACCTCCCACACTTGTCATGTCCTCTGGTTCTGATGCATATGAAGCATCCGAGTAGGCGGTGAGGAACAAACGCCCGGGTTCAACACCATCCGCGCCCTTTTGGCGCCTTTGTGCCGCCGCCGAGTATTGCAGCCCAACGGTCGGTGTTTGGCCAAGATACTTGGCCACCCTCATTCCAGCTGCTACCTGCTCCTCATTAGGGCATTGCACAACCCTAGCCAGCTGCCCGGTAGCAAACGCGACGTCCGGTCGGGTGTTTACCGCCGCATACATGAGGCTGCCCACCAACGAGTGAAATCGGCGCCTCTCCTCTTCACCAACGCTCTCCTCCTCTGGTCCCTTCACACACTTGAACCCAGAGGGAAAAGGTGTAGCCACATGGCCTTCACTCTGCCCAAAGTTGGCAGCCAATGCCTCCAGGTACTTTCGTTGATGCACCCGCATGCACCGCTTCTCCACATCTCGTTCGATGTGGAGCCCAAGGTAGAAGTTCACGTCACCAAGGGCCTTGCACTTGAACTTGTCTTGAAGCTTCAGCATCACCTCCTTCAAAAGGTCAGAAGAGGGTGAGAAAATGAGGATGTCATCCACATAAACCACCATGAAGCTCCTCTGCTCCCCCTCGCCAAGCATGAACAAGGAGTGATCGGCCGTTGAGGGAGTGAAGCCGATCCCCTCCAACACTTCGCGCAGCTTCATGTACCATTGCCTAGGGGCCTGCTTCAGCCCATAGAGGGCCTTCTTCAGCTTCCACACTCTGCCACTACCATCATCAAACCCCTCTGGCTGCGCCATAAAAATCTCCTCCTCAAGGATGCCGTTAAGGAATGCCGTTATGATGTCCATTTGCTTTACTACCCATCCTTTGATGGCGGCTCCTGCGAATAGGGTTCGCAGCGTCGTCGGCTTCACCACAGGGGCAAACAGCTCCTTGAAGTCCACCTTCTCCTTCTGCTGGTACCCCTTGGCTACAAGCCTAGACTTGTAGCGCTCGATCTTGCCGTCGGCATCCGACTTGATTTTGAAGAGCCACTTGGACGTTATCGCCGTACGCCCCTCCGGTAGCTCCACCAATTCAAACGTGTCATTCTCCTCGATGCTCTTCAGCTCACTCTCCATGGCCTTCTTCCACTCCTCAGCATCACTACTCTCCAAAGCCTCCTTGAGAGTTGCTGGTTCTCCCGGCATCTCCACCGGAGAGAAGAACGCGAAGGCACACTCCTCGTAGTCACTCTCCTCGTCGTCTCCGACCATCATTGCCGCTCCGGCCAGGGCTGTCTTGCCCTGCTTTCCCGGCGCATCATAGGTCAGCCTATTAGGGGGTTGAACTCTCCTCTTCCCCCTT